CCGCGCCCCCCCGGCCGCCGCCCCCCGGCGCGGCCCCCCCGGGCCTTCCTCCTGCCCCCTGCAGCTGTGAGGCTGCCGCCCCTCCAAGAATAAATCCGCACCAGGAAGTGACGTGTCTGTGCTCGTGGGCGGGGCTTGGGCGGTTGGCTTCCTGGTGTCCTGTGCGCCATGGCGCTCACCTGGTTGCAGCGAGTTGAGCTCGCGCTCTTCGCTGCCGCCTTCCTGTGCGGTGCTGTGGCGGCCGCGGCAGTGACCAGGACCCAGGTGCGGCTGCGGGGCGGGCCAGCCTTGGGGCCGAGCAGGCTGGCTCTGGGGACTGGCCGCGGTAGCTTCACCGAGCTAGGGACTGAGAAGTCCCAAACTTGTTTGCTTGCCAGAGGAGCTGGACACGCAGAGCCTATTCGAGTCCAAGATAAACCGGTTAATAAGTTTACTTGGGTGCTGGGACACACAGGCCCAGTCTTTGCATTCACCCAATGCACAAATAGAAACATTTGTGCAAAAAAAAGTAGTATAGTGGAGTGATCAAGGTACCGCAAGATTGTAGTCCGGTGTGTGAAGTGAGGGAACGTATACACTTAGGTACACCAGGTTTATTATTGTTGGACAGTCTTGGTCAAAGAATACTTTGAGTCACTATAAGAGTCTAGGACGCCTTCTTTTACAGGCTAGGGAAGCTGTTAAAGGGCACACAAGGTCAGGACTTTCTCTAGAATCTCTGTTCACGGGGACAGATCAAACTTGCGATTTCTCTTGGGTTTATGTTTTGTATTTCGAGACAGGTTTCTCTGTGTAGCCCTGGCAGTCCCCTGTAGATCAGGCTGGCCTCAAAATAACGAGATCCACTTGTCTCTGCCTCCCAGTGCTGGTATTAAAAGGTGCACCACCACCCCACCACTACTGCTCGGCTCTTGAGGGTTTTTTTTTTTTTTGCGGGGGGGGGGGGGAGGAAGATAGAGACAGGGTTTCTCTGTAGCTTTGGAGCCTGTCCTGGAAACCAGCTTAGCTTTGTAGACCAGGCTGGCCTCGAGGTCCGCCTGAGTGCTGAGAAAAATGTGCCCCCACCACCACCCTGCTTCTCTTGCCTTTATATTGTAACCCACTGAATTCTGACCCCCCTCTGGGCCCTGCAGACTTGGTTCCCAGCAGATCCACATCAGTCTATCCCTCCATTTCACCTAATTTGTGAACTCACCCTCACATCTGGCAGTAACCTGCAAATGGGGGCATTGAAGTGGAACCAAGGACTCAACAGCTTCTCTCCACAGGGCTCCTTCGGTGGTAGCTGCCCCTTGTATGGTGTGGCTGCCCTCAATGGCTCCTCTCTGGCCTTGTCACATCCCTCAGCCCCCTCTCTCTGCCACTTTGTATCCCGGGCTTCAGGCCTCTTGGCCCTCTACTGCCTTCTGCTTCTCCTCTTCTGGGTCTACAGCAGCTGCATCGAGGATTCCCACAGGTAATGACCCTACTGAGGACAAGGGGCTCAGGTGAGATGAGTCCCATCTAAGCTACAAAGCTTGTTTTCTATCCCTCAGAGGTTCCATAGGGCTCCGAATTGCTTTGGCCATCTCAGCTATTGCCATCTTCCTGATATTAGTGTCTGCCTGTATACTTCGATTTGGCACCAGTTCTCTCTGCAATTCCATCATCTCCTTGAACCATACAATTAGGTAATGGGAGAGGGAGGGGATTCCGGCAGGGACTATTTCCCTCTATAAGGTACAAGTTTCCATGTTTCTCCTTATCCTTTGGCCCTTATCTCTAAGAACACAAATGTGCTTAGAGTATGTTTCCTTTCTCAGAACTCTCTCTCTACCCCACAGTTGCTCTGAAGCCCAGAAATCCTCATGGACACCCCCTGGAACTGCTGTGCAGTTTTACTCCAACCTACAAAACGCTGAAGTGAGACAAAGGGATATACTAAGATTAAATATCTGTAGCTTAAGAGTGTTCACCATGTAATATATGCTTGCTTGTAAAGCTCAAAGAAGCATGGGCTTGTCTCTTGAGTCTGGACAGAGCACATTGTGTGGGTAGGACTGAATTGGAAATAGCTTCCTTCCTCACACTCCTGTTCTCTTCTCTCACAGACCTCTTCTTGGGTGAATCTGGTACTGTGGTGTCTGGCCTTGATGCTCCAGGTCGTGCAGTGCAAGTCAAGTCACCCCAGAGCACAGCTCTGAGACCAGTGCTCTTATTGGGTAATGCCTGTCTTACTCCTGAAGAATACTCAGTACTTTCTGCCGCCAGAATCTCCGTGCTCAAGAGCTTTTAATCTTCTTGTCTCAATACAGCCCTATTTGTACTGAGAACCACATTTTTCCCTCCAGGAGGGAAACTAGAATAAGTCCCCTCTGCTTTTTCACCTTAACATTTTTTTTGTACCAAAATAATATATTACTTTTCTTCATCATTGTATAGAGTTCTTGGTGTTAAAGCAAATAGATGGGAGAGAAGACAGAATGATGGCTTTAAGTGCATCAGGCCCTTTAGAAGACAAATTTATTGGCTATTAGTGAATCCGGGGTACCTTTTCTTGCCCTGGGTTGTCTCCTCATCTGAGATGGGCAAACCACTTTTCATAGGCTCCGATAGGCACCCACAGTGTTATCAAAGAGTTGAGTGTTGGGGAAGTGTCCAGCTTTGTCCAAAAGGAAGTAGAAGCGTCGGCCTTTGATCTTTAGAGGCAACATGGCAGGAACTTCACTTCTGTGGGCCATGCAGGAAACCTGGTTCAAGGGAACTGTGAAACGTGTCCCCGAGCCAAAGGGGGCATAAGTGGTAAGCATCACCTGCTTCCCTCCTGCAAGGAGCATGACTGAACGCACAGATCGGAGAGAGTAGAGAAAACCAGCACCAAGGACCAAGGCTCCTGCAGGAGAAGCAAAGCAGGGTAAAAAGTTATGCAGACCCCTTAAGAGCAGTCACATTACTGAAATGGGAGTAGCAGCTTTGAGCACTTATAGATCCTACCTTCCCCTCACCTCCCCAACCCCCCACACCTCAGACAGGGTTTCTCTGAATTGCTTTGGAACCTGTCCGGGAACTCGATCTGTAGACCAGGCTGGCTTTGAACTCACAAAGATCCCCCTGCCTCTAAAACCGGTGCACTTACAAAATTTTGTGCTCCTAACTCTAAACACACCGGAAGACAGGATTAAGGGATCTCTCTGAGTTCGAGGCCAGCTTGGTCTACAGGGCAAGTTCCAGGATAGCCAGGCAAGGTCTTTTAATCCCTGTGGGCCACAAGTTTGCTATATGTTCAATAACTTTGAATTTGTGATCTTCCTGCTTCTACTATCGAAATACTAATACTACATCTGGGTGCCACCAGGTGAAGTTTATGCAGTGTTGGGGGCTGAACCTCATACCTAGTTAAGCAAGCACTTTATAAATTGAGTCATATCGACATGGCCAGCCCCGTCGTTAAAAGGAGAAAATGGGTCCGTGCTTTCTATAGCCTGCTCACAGCCAGAGTAAGCAGGGTGGGGAGTTGGGGAGCAAAGCGTTCAGGTACTCAAGATACATTACACCCATACCGGGAATCCCACTTACATTTCTGCTCATCTGGGAGGATTGGGAACCCTTCTTCATTGAGTGAGTTTTGTGCTCACAGCCCTAGGGCAACCCGGAACCCATGCCCTTACCCATCGTGCCGCAACCAATAGCTAGCCCGTAGCGCCAGAGTGCAGAGCGCAGGTCCGTGTAGCCCCGGTTGGGAGCCTCTGCAGGAACCCGGATCAGAGGTCGGGACAATGCTGCAACAGCCAGGGAGGTCCAGAAGATGCCCTGACCAGCGCAAAACAGTCCAAGGATGGCAAAGAAGCGGCCCCGTTCATGCTGGAAGAGCAGCACATCCCGTGGTACCCCACTTTGCAAATGCCGGCATACAGGAGGGGAACGTAGCACGGACAACAACCCGCTGACCCACTGCCGGCAACGTGCCGCCATGGCGGGGCACTTCCGTCTCTGGGGCGGGACTTCCTGTCATGACGCACTCTCCCACCCCTTCTGCATTGAGGGAAACAAGCCAGTAATGAGACACAAACTACAATATCACTCTTTATCTTAAAAAGTAAAGGGAATCAGGGGTTAAGTACACAGAGCACCTAAGTCCTTCGGGTAGTTTAGTGTCAGCTCTACAAAGTAAGCTTTGGCTTCCTGGCACCACGAGGCTCAATCTTCCAGAAGTCTTCTGTAAGTCTTCCAGAAGGTAGGTGAGGAAGATGAGGCAGCCCTCCCTCCTCAGTCACAGTTACAGGCTGGCCTCGGGCGGGACAGGAGATGGCAGATGACAGCCAGACAATATTATCCACGGGCTATTTACAAGGGGGCTTTTCCTGTGATCATTTCATAAACGCTACTTCTGGAATCTCTCCCTTGGCCTGCAGAAAGAAAGAGAAAAGGTGAATAGAGCCAGAGGACTCCTTTCCCACCTGCCCTGCCAGACCACGGGACCTGGAACTCTGTATAGACCAGGCTGGCTTTAAATTCAATCTGGCTGCCTCTGCCTCCCAACTGCTGGGATTAAAGGTGTGCACCACCACACCCAGCCTTCATGTGACCCTTTCCAAAGCTCAGAGCTCCCAGTTTACAGCCACACAATTTCCATGCTCTACCTTGAGATGAGTGAAGGCCTGAGCAGATCTGGTATAGTCCCAGTTGTTGTCTTGAAGGCACCTGGAGTGGGAGTAAAACAGGAAGAAGCCACGTGAGAACCAAAATGCAGTCACTCTCATCTCTCAAAAAAAAAAAAAGCCACTCCAGATTCCATCAAGGAGAAAGTCATCAAAGTTTCCTAGTAATTACATTTATACATTGTTGCACCACTTATACAAATGAAACATTAAAGTGTCAAAATGTCTAACAAAAATGACCAAAGTACTTTTACACTAGAAGGGAAGGATTTTCATGGCTTAAAAACCAAGTTGCTGGTAGCAAGATGGTGAGGCCTTTAATCCCACCACTCAGGAGGCTGAAGGAGGTAAAAGTCACTAAATTTGAGCAAACCTGAGCTATATAGTGACTTACAAGCAGCCAAGGACACAGTGAATGAAACCCTGTCTCAAAGGAAAACTATGTTGCAGAACTATACATAAAAGGGCTCTGGAACACTGTATGCACCTAATATTCCCAGCTCCCTTTGAATGATGAGGCTCACAGGACTTGGTAAAGAGCTGGTATCTTATTGAGAACATGTCTCAAAATGAATGACAACTAAGAAGATGACTGGGTAGCCAGGGGCAATGGCTCATTCCTTTAATCACACCATTCTGGAGGCAGATAGAGAGTTCAAGGCCAGACAAGTACATAGTGTGACCCCATCTCAAAACAACAAAAAGAGGGCCAGGGGAATTAGCTCAGTGGTAGTGTCTGCCTTGCATATATGATGTCTAGCTAGGTTCAATTCCTCATTCTGCCGGGGGAGAAGGGAGCAATAGGTAGGTGGGAGGGCAACAATTCACTCTTCATTTGTGCTTTGGAACTTTATATAAATTATTTATGCAGAAGTCTTAGTAGGAAATTTTTTTTTTTTTTTTGGTTTTTTGAGACAGGGTTTCTCTTTGGCTTTGGAGGCAGGTCTAAGAATCTTTTTTTTTTTTTTTTTTTTTTTTTTTTTTTTTTTTTTTTTTTAAAGCACTGTTATTCACTGTCAGGCCATTTGTTCCCTCTTGGCCCTATCCATGCTCAAGACTCACTTCTGAGACCACTCGAGGTTCATGCCAGACTGGGTAGAGAATGCTTGCAACATTTCCTGTTGTTCTGGGGAGAGCGTGGGCACTGGGCTGGAGGAAGGTGTGGGTGCAGGCATGGCGAAGGCTCTTTGGATTTCTTCAGGGCTGGCATTCCGCACAAATAATTCATCATTTACAATACATAGCCTTGGGGGCAGAGAACACACTAAATAAATGAACAAATAACCTCACCCTTCTACACTGTCTCTGTTCTTAGATCTGTCTGTTCTTAGATCTGGTTAATATCCATATGCCCATCCCATGTTACCTTTTATCATTTATTGTTTTTTTTTAATTTTATTTTTTAAAGATTTTATTTATTATGTATACAACATTCTGCTTCCATGTATTATCTGCACACCAGAAGAGGGCACCAGATCTCATAACCAATGGTTGTGAGCCACCATGTGGTTGCTGGGAATTGAACTCAGGACCTCTGGAAGAGCAGTCAGTGCTCTTAACCTCTGAGCCATCTCTTCAGCCCTTATCATTTATTCTTGACTTCAGACTAGGTGTTTAGGAGGATTATCTCCCAAACACACTAGAATTATTATATATTCAGTCCTCAACCTACTGATAGTTGTTCTCAGGCTTCATGAACTTCCTATTGCTTTTCTACAATTCTGGTAACTCCCTGGGGAAGAATTCTTTCCAATTATCACACTGCTGGTCTGAGAATGAGACTCACAGGGTAAGCTGAGCACTTACCCTGAATTGCTGGCAGGAACAGCAACAAACGTTCTCGTGAACGCACGTAAAGAATCTCGAGACTTCCCATCCACTGCAATGAGAATAAAAGCAATGGTCCCTTAGAGTCACTCAGGCTTAATCTTTATAAAAGTTTCTCATATCTCAGCATTTGATACAAAGAATCCTAACTTGGCCAGGTAAGGATGGTTATTTGGACACAGGGGAACAGAATTAGGATAAAGGGACAGATCTGGAGGATAGTTAATAGGAAGTAGGGGAGGCAAATTAGAAAGTGCTTAGCCCATGGCTTGGCAAAATATCGAAGTCACTTCACTTCCTAAAGCACCACTGTGCAAGAGTATTACAAGTCTCATCTAAAAAAACAAAACAAAACAAAAAAAAATTGAGGTTCAGTAACTTTCCCAGACCCACAGAATAAACCCAGGGCTGGAAAGGAGACCTGGCTAACTGACTCTTCATCTACTCTGTTCTGGTCCCCACATTTTTGTCACACTGCATCTAAGACAGGTAGGAGTTAAGATAGTCTGGATAAAACAGGAAGGTCAGAGAAGAAAAGGGATGAGAAGATAGCTGGGGAACTAAGGATACAGAGAAAGTTTAGGAGGACTCAAGATTCTTACCTTCCTTGAAGACTCCATTGACAGAAAAACATAGCAATGTGCTCTGAAAGAGAAACAGCATAAGCAATGGAGGTTCCCCACCAGAGCCTGAGCTCCTCACCTAGTGAGTGCTGAACCCATCACCCACCCCAGTTCTGGGCTTCTGTCAGGAGAACATATGCTTACTGTTTGGGCACTTATGTCTACCACAAAGGAATTGATATCATGTTGAGTTTTGGGTAACTCGTTGAGGAAGGCAACAACGTTGAGACGTGTATGCTTTAACAGCCGGAACCGCAGGGCTGCAAGCAGAAGGAAGAGAGCCCAAGGTTAGGACACACCTGCACTGGCTAGCTCTAATGACT